GTCGTGCGAACTTTATCTGTGCCAACACCAAATGTTTCATGGACTGCAGTTCCTCCACTTTGATAAGCTGTCTAGGTTGATAGTTATCGATTATCTAGTTGATAGATTAAACCTCATCAAAAATCTATACATAAATTCTGTTTCACTCATACTTTACTCACACGTGCACACATGTTTCTCTTCTAATACTCCCACATGTAATAGTGTTGTTTATGTCTGCCCTCAAAGGGAACTGCTGCATGTAGCTATTGCATATTTAGTCTGCTTGCTATATGCATAGGACATTGAATGGAGTGCTCGTTATATTTTATTGTTTCTTAGATATTGCCCTGTGGATTTACTGCTTAATACTGTCTTTGTCATCTCATGACACTACCTTTAACACAACACAGGCTATGTATATTCGTGTAAAGCGCAACAAGGTGACCTACTTTGTGCAGTGTGATCCAACTGAAACAACTTTAGAAATTAAGCAGAAGTTACAGGGATTAATTGATCAAACAAGCAATAATCAACGGTTAACCTTGGTATCCACTAACGAGGTTTTGGATGATTCGAAGACATTAGCAGATCAGAAGGTATTGTGGTTTTAGTACTCATGATATAGTTATGCATAGTTCCTGTTGCCTTGTTGATGAAGGTTTACTTTTGTCCTTTTTGAGTTAAAATGTTGTGGATGAAGAGATGACTAATAAAGTGTCTGTATTCCATGCTAAATGTATGTGATGCTTTCTCACAGGTTGAAAATGATGCTATTGTGGGGTTGAGCATAAGAAAAGGTATTGTACCCTGATCTATTTGTTTTAGTAGTTTGATATTTTATGTGTTGTTAGCAAACTTCTCTGCACTTAATCATATACATATACGACCTGTCAATTCTCTTGCTTTCATTGTATTGGAGGTGACAGCAGTAGCAATATTCTGGGTTGTGTTCAAACCATGGCAATTAGTTATCTCATCCCTGATATTAGAAGTTTGTTGGTAACAATATTTTCTTTGGTGACTGGGAGTTGCATGTAAGAAGTTCTAATTTGCAATTTGGATGGAAAAAAAGCTTTACCGATAAAATTATGCTCATGACCAAAATAATATTGCTTGTCTATGTGTTCCTCCGTTTTAGGCTTTTAGCTAACCAATGAGATAGGCAGCACAGCAGAACGGATTTAGCTCTTTTAAAATTCTTTTGTGAAGGTTAATATTTATCTTGTCATAGTATCCTTGTATGAACACATTGAGCATATCCCTTTGTTTGATTAATTGTGTTGAGACTAATACAAAGGTTTTAGGTAGGTAAATCACATAGATTACAGTAATTGGCAATTAGTTCCAAATCCACTTCAGTAAATATAATTGCTGGCGATTGCATACAATCTGTTCTACAAACGTGGAATCTCTTACAAACAGTTACTCTTTACAGATAGTTTGATGGAAAGAGGAGTAATTTCAATAATTAATTCCCTATACATCTCTGTTGAACTGTTAATTTTTATGTAATGCAATGAACAAAACACAGATGCTTTCACGTAATTAACTATTCATACATTGATGAATTATCCAAAAAAGTTCATGACAGTGCAAATCTGGGAAGCAAAGAATAAGCTTACAAAATTATGGCTCTGCATGTTTTATGGACTGAACATGAATTATTCAATAAGACACAAGAAGAAACTGCATTCTAGGGCTTCTGTTCTCTTTTTTCCCCTTTTAAATAGCTTTGACCAGCTTTCAAACTGATCCTTACAGTGAGAATGATTTCACCACTCTACTATTTGATGTGGCTGTGATAACATGAATCAAATATTATATAAATTACAGGTAATAAGTTTATAGCTACAGGATCCCATTCAGAACTTATGCCCAGCAACTCCCAAAGTTTCTGAATCTTTCCGAGTTTCAAACAAATTACTCCCCAATGCTGAACTTCTGAGCACGTTGGAAGTCCTCGTCATGCTTTTCTCGTTTTGGATGTTTATCCCAGCTAGTGATACACTAGGAACTAGGAATTACACTATTTGTTTTAGTTCATAGACAAAAGGTCAGTATGTTATCTTTTTTCCTAGATTCCCACTCCATGATGGTGCCTGACCAGGGATGGACGTAAACTCATAAGCTACCGAGAGTAGGGATAGTTGTCTAGTCTTTATTATTCAATAAAAAGGCCCTCCCCTAGATTCCCACTTCACTTGTAATAAAATCCTATACTAATACCATTGTTGAAAAAAACCGTTACTAACTTGTTATGTTGCGTTATGTAACCTGACATGCCTTGAATACTAAGTGACTTTATGAAATAACTCAGATATATCATAACTCAACGTTATTACGATATAATATGTGTTATTTCGATATAACTTCCATCATATCAATATAATATGTGTCGTTTCAATATAACTTACGTTATTTCAATATAAGTTCTAGTACTTAAAACTTGAAGTAGTTAAATAGTTACTTTTGAATTGTTTGTTAAGTTTTCATGTCTAGTTTTGGTGACATCATTATGTGATTGTGAAATTAGGAATATGACTGATAAAACAAATTTAGGTATGAACGAGCTATAAATTGATGATTATATATTTGAGTATTTGATTGTGGTACTTCCTAGTAAATTTATATAACTTGTATTAAATTAAAGAATTTTTATTAAAATATTTTTATATTATAATATTTTGTTCCTAATTATTAAAATTATTATGAACATCTTTATATATATTTTTTTAATTAAAGAGTAAGAAAATATTTTGGTCCTAATTGTGGTGTTATGTTCGAAAATTTTGATGATTCTAATTATTAAAATCATCGTGAGTAGTTTGTATTTATAAAATATACAAATAAGTATAAACAAAATAACATGCGTTATGCGTTACGTTTTTTATGCCTTTTTTTTTATTTAACCCTTAACAGGAGGTAGAGCGTTACGTTATGCTTTATTGTTATTTTCGACATTGATAGAAAAATTGAATTTAGTCAGGCTTTCTTTTTCTAATATTAATGAGTAGTTTATTATGTAATAACATTAATTATTTTTGAATGCTTATTCCGTTCCATTCCTCTGATGATCTAACTTATTATTTTTATTTTTCCAGATGATAATGAGTTTGAGGAAGTCTGCATTGCTCGTGTAGAAGATTACACCCCATTCTCATGATAGAGGCAAAGTATAATGGGACAGCTTTTGCTTTGAAGGTGTTTTGTGTGAAAATGATGCGTGAAATATGGGACATGTGTTAATCCAGAATTATGTTTTGACCTTGCCTACATGTCAACATTAATAATGATGAGTCAAAACTACAATGATTTGTCATGACAAAACTTGAGCGGAGGAGCATGCGACGACAAGGTTTTCACAAATGTTGTTTCTCTTTATTTGATAGTTAGGACAAAGCCACTCATGTTGCTTTGTAGGTATGATAATTACCCAAACATGGTTGATTTAGATAAAATGGGCAATCTTTGGAGCGCTCTTGTAGTGAATCATAGCAACCAGGTATATTTGTTCCAGCCATCGCGTATTTTTATGTACCGGTTCATTTTTGGTAATGATTGTGATGATATAAACGTCTCTTAAAAGTTTTTCATCTTCTCTGTGTTGGTACCATAAGTAGTATTTGTAACATCTACTTTCCTGGAGTTTACTAGAGTCGCGTACTCGAATTTTCTCTGGGGAAGTTACTAGTTCATAAAATGCTGCAGTTATTCCCTTGCACGATGCTCGGTTATGAACTGCAAATCTGCAACCACAGCCCATAGGGGCTCCTTAGAGCAAAAACCGCACCCGAGAGTGCCCTGTACACGACTACTAAGTGCGGTCTGGTACGCGAAAACAAGTTCCTTGATTGATGAACGATTCATTCACAGCTGCTGCTAAATCCAGTTTCCCTCCTTTCCTCCTCAAAGCGTCGGCACCCATCGTAATTTCTAGTTCAACTCATCCATCAAGTGATGGAGGCCCTCACGAGAAAAGCACGTGGTGGTCCAAATTGGTCCCAAGCAAGCGTTGATGTGGATGGGAGCCCTGATGATTTCAAGAGGAGCAAACGTTGTTTTGTCCAAATTGGTCCCAAGCGTTGTTTTGTCTCGCATCTCAGGGATTGTTACGGTACGCAGAAAGTATTTAGGGCCCGATTGGATCGGGTGTTTTCAAGGGGAAAGGAGGGGGGAAAGCTGTCAACTTGTCAGCTTTTTGACAACTTTCCCCCAAAATCGCCTCTATATAAGAGCCCCTTAAAAATATGGGAAAGCTGTCAAAAAGCTGACAAATTGGCAGCTTTCCCCCTCCTTTCCCCTTTAGGGGCTGTTTGGTTCCTTTTTTTTGGTGGTAAAAGTGGGGAAAGCTGTCAAAAATATCAGCTTTTTGGCAGCTTTCCACCAAAATCACCCCTTAAAAAGGTGATTTTGGGGGAAAACTGTCAAAAAGCTGACATTTTTGGCAGCTTTCTCCTCTTTTACCACCCAAAAAAACCTATACAAACAGCCCCTTAAAATACCCGATCCAAACAGCCCCTTAAGGGCCTGAGCTATCATTCTCATGTGAGCTCTGAGGACCATGCTAAAGTTTTCTTTTTCCATGTCTTGTTTGTGACCTGTCGACATAAAATGATGTCTCAACAAGAAAAGATTTTCCTCCTCAACCGGGCATTTGCTGGGGCCAGCAAAACCCCTGTTTTCAAGATTTTCTGGTCTGGGGTTGCTGGATGGGGCTTGTGGCGTACGAACTCCTGACTGATGATGCTGCACATCTACTTGATCTGGCCACAAACTTTATATCAAACTTTTTATACAACCCAACATGATGGTTTTTGATAACTCAGAGCCAGTTATAATAATGGTACGTGCCATATCAGCAACCCCCCCACCCCCTACCACCAAAATAAAAAAATCCGGGCTTGACGAGAGAACTTTTACACGATTCTTCAGACAATGGGTATCAAAACCTCAGAGTGTGGCTAAGAGACGGCCCCAATGTACGGCTTCGGGTATTCTAGAAAATTAGATTTTTGTGACTCATATACAGCTTAACAACTCAGCTAGAATCTCTTGGATATATAAGCGACAAATTTAGTAAAATTCTAAAAAGTGTTTAGTTCATTGTTCATCAATTTATTAAAATTAAAAAAGAAATTTGCCTGACAGTTTCCCAACATAATTATTATACTCGTCGAATCATCTTGAAATTTAGTTGAATTAAACTGAATTAAGAAATTAAACAGTGAGTAGAATACCTCTAAATAATAAATAATGAGTATTCCATTATCTCATTCATTCTCTCAAATTCACCTGTCCCCTCCATTGGTCTCATATTTTGGGTCCATAAGTCATTTTCCTTTATATTCAGTTGCGGTAGAAATATAACGAAAGATGGGTAAAGCTCGTCCTATGCGTGGCTATAATCAGGCGTAGAACGGGCCGTACCCAAACCCACCCGACCCTCCACTGGACATCCGAGTCAGCACCACGATTCTAACACGTCATCGGGAGGTAACCGTATCCGGAAAAAAAAACTGCCGGTTCGAAAGAGAAAAGATAATCAATCTTTTAATAACAAAGTTAATTAATTGATCATCTTTTAATGACAAAGTTAATAATCAAATTAAATACATTAAAGTTAAAATAATAATAAAGGACTGCTCCCCTCCAACGGAAACCCGTTTTTTTCTGACACGCCTCGAAAAACGAAACGACAAAGCCGGAGCAAGAAAAAGTAATTAAAAAACCGGAGCATTTTCTTATTGATTTTTATCTCTTGGATTTCTTGTCAAATTTCGTCGAAATCGAGCTCGATCCGAGGATCTAGATCGATACTCTTGTTAAATTTCGACGAGTCGTGTCGCTGATCTTGAGGTGAGCTGCTCCCTTGGATGCTCGATTCATCGTTTTGTTTAATGCGATTTGATCGATTTTTTAATGGAGTTTGGTTCTTTCTAGGGTTTTTATTTTATTTTATTAAGTCGGTGCATCAATTGACAAAGAAATTCACCAGGAAATTTGTAATTGAACTTGTGGAACCGTAGCTTATCGTTGGAACATGAAAAGGAAAACATCCAGAAAAAAAACCCTGAATTGTAATAAAAGAAGTCGTTTTTTTTAAAGATGTTGATTTTAAATCCTGTTCTAATTGTTTAAGGATTTCATGGAAAATGAAGGGATTTTCTATTGACGCGGATCAGCATTGCTCTTCCCAGGATCCCATGCAAATTGATCATTTTGCAATGTTACTATCAGTTGCTTCCATTTTACCCTTTATTAAAGAGAAAAGAAGAAATAGTACACCACTCTTTTAATCCTTCCATTTAGGGGCGGAAACGAACCAAAATAGTTAACAAATAGCTCGCTTATATTCGATTCGGTAGTTCATTTAACATTAAACAAATAATTTTTAGTATTCGAGTTTATTAACGATTAGAATTTAACTAGATGTATATTCATTTTGTTTACTTATTAAATACTTGTTTAAATTTTGATCGCTTATAATTTGTATTATTACATACATGATGCTGTGTTTCCAACCCATTTGCCATTTCTACTTAAATTTTATATACTAATTTTGAAACTTAAATAATCTTAAATCAGTTTTCTAACGAAATTTTGAATAAAATATATGTATATACATATATCATAAAGAAAAATTTTCATTTATAAATTTAAGTACTATTTAAAAATCAAATTCTTTAGCGGAATGAATATACTTTGATATTCGATGAATATTCATGAATATTTTTCAAATACCAAGTATTACAGTTTGAATTTGAAAAACTCCGAATATGCATATGCGAATTTAGGTTTGAATCCGATAATTTTAGACAAGTACAAATATGAACAACTTAGTAATCGATTCCTTTCAATCATTTACCACCCCTACTTCCATTTAATCCATTTCCTTTTGATCCTTGATCACTTCAGCAGAAGGACAGAAGACAGACAAGAAATTAAACTAAGTTACTGACTCACATTTAATTTATTTATTTATTTATTTCTGTTGTTAAGATTATAAAAAACTCTTATCTTACTTAGTTTGACGCATCCTTTGATTATACTGCTCCCATTGGCTGTACTAGCCTTGCATTGGTTGACATGGTTGACCTCCTATATATTGGCCTCATTCGCTCGTTTATGGGTGTATTGATTGAGATACGATTATATGGTGATTAATTTAGAAAACCCATTTCCCCTAGCATTGCCCACGTTCTCCCTCCTGGATCAGGCGAATCTCACTGTATACATTCCTCTGTATGTTTGTGCTACTGGTTTTCTTAATTCATGAACCTGCTTCATTTTGCTTACTCGTACTGTTATGCAAGTCCATATTTGCTTAGACTTGAATGCGGTGAACTTAGAAAACCCATTTTCTACGTAGAGATTTATCACTTAAAATTTTCATCCTGCTTCCTTGCGTGAATCTTTATTTTATCAACATTGGGTGTCTGTTAAAAGAACCTAGTTCATTAGTTACATATATGATATATCATTTTGCTTAATTTGTAATTTTCCCCAACTTTTATCATCCATATGTCAGGTTTCAGGGTCTGATGCCGTTGGCGCGAGTAGGTTTATACCTATATGAGTTTGTATCTACATCGCTTTTCTCGTTGGAAGAACCTATGTCATGAGTTACATCTATCATCCTGCTTACATTTCTAACTTTTATCGTTGTCAGGTTATAGTTTCTGATGCGACTGGTGGGAGTAGGTTTATACTTATATGAAGAACACGTCAATGTGGTTTGATTCAGAAGTTGTTAAATGGATGTATACAGAGATGAGTCTGTAGAGGCTTCGGCACAGAAGAAGCCATTTGCAGCGGAATTGAAACCTAGGCCAGTATTGGTTAATTCAGATAAGAGCAATGCAGTGCCGGTCAACGGAAAGCCACGGACTAGAGAAATTAGCTCAAGGAAAAAATCTGGGGTCACCTCGACTCCACAATCCTCATCCCCAAAAGCTAGTCAGACATTCTCACTTTCAAGAATATCTGTGCCTCAACGAGCACAATCAGCTGAAAGGAGAAGGCCTTCAACCCCCTCATCTCCTTCATCTCGGCGCTCAGCACCTTCATCCCCACCATCACAGCCTTCTTCACCTTCAACTCCTTTCTCAAAGTCTTCCAGACCTTCATCACCATCACCAAGGTCTGCAACTCCAGCCTGTGACTCGATGGTCGAGAGGCTGAGCTCTTCTCGAAGGTCACTTGTTAGCCGAACTCCAGATGGGTTGTGGCCTTCTATGCGCAGCTTATCATCTTCTTTCCAATCCGAGCATTCTTCTGCTCTTAGTAGTAAGAGTGAGAAACTGGTTAGGAATGCATCTCCAGATCGCACGATGAAGTCTTCTCCAAATGTAGGGTCTGAGAGGAAGAGGTCAGAGAATTCCAGGCCTGTAGATAATTCACTTAGGTGGCCTGGGATGCTTGGAGGAAAAGTATCTTCCAATGCATTGCCAACAAAAAGCATGGATCTAAGTGACAAGGCTAGCAGATCTGCTTCTTTATCAGTTTCACTGCGAGGATTTTCACCTATAAGGGGAATGTCCGCAACTGATGTTATAAGCAGAGGTCTCAAAAATACAACAAATGAGGCAATGCGGCCAATTTCTTCCAGACGAAGTGAGAAGGCTGCACATCTAGTAAATTCGTCTAGAAATGTAAGTTCAGTTCCATTGGAAAGAGCTCCTTCAAGCATGAGGCCAAGTAGAAGTCCTTCACCCCTTCCAGTTTTGGCTCGCCCCTCGTCACCAAATATGGCTTCAGCATCATTGTGTTCTATCTCTAGAGGCATGTTGAGTCCATCAAGGGCAAGACCATCAACTCCATGTTCTTCATCTAGTAGCACATCAACACTAGTCGGTGCCTTTTCCTCTATTGGCAATTATACTTCAGACATGCAAAAGGGAAAAAGAAGCCCAAGTCACATGAATGATTTCCATCAGTTGCGCCTGCTTTACAATAGGGACCTTCAGTGGCGCTTTGTCAATGCCAGAGCTGATGCGACAGTTTTGACCCAAAATTTAATAGCAGAGGTTTGAAGAAAATACTTAGATTTTTGGATTCATATTATTTCATCTCTCATAATTTCTATTCTGTCTTCGTCTTTCATTGGATATAGTAGGGAAGAGATAATTATGACTTAAATAGTGCTAAAAACCTCCTCAGGTTCTGTTGCGGCTTTTCTTGTAACGTCCAAGAAGCATGTAAAATCTTAATTTGATTAGCATTTGACACCTTGCTTACAGAGACACTGTTTTTGTCTTGTTAAATGCCCTAAGTCATGTACGCAGATGAGTATTATCTATGGGGCATATTTATTTTCGTGGTTCACTTGTTTGGCCCTCTTTAACTCTTTATTAATCCTGCTGTATCTTTCCATCATATATCAAGTCCTAAAATTTGTCTGGATGTTCTATAGAAAGCAACATATGCTCTAATTTACTGATCTGATATAATCAATTTCAATTGTTATTACCACTTCATACTATTTCGTGATTAGTATTTTTGCACAACGTGTTATCATCACTTTTCCTGTCAATCTAAATGCATGCCTTGAAGGATCGAGCACAATTTACATCTTGCATTGGCACCTTTTATTTGTGGCAGTGTTCTAGCAACTGGTTTTATAAAACAGTCAACTGATTCGTGATTGTGTCAAACAGGATATGCTTTGCAATGTGTGGAATATTACTTCAGAATTGCGCGATTCAATCACTTTGAAAAGGATTTATGTGCAAAATCTGAGGCAAGAGATGAACTTGAAGCTAATACTAAAAGAACAAGTAAGATCTCTGAAACATATCTGCTATTTCATCAATAAGATTGACTCATGAGCTCCTGACCCCAACTTGTAGAGTTAAAGACAACCCTTTTGTTATCTTGAAGTCAAGTAAATAGCGGGACATACTTTTCTAAGTTACTGTGTGTGTACGGTGCTTAGGTTTGGAGACATATAAAATCTAATTGCCCAATGTATCCTATTCCATTTATATGAAAAATGGGCAAAAGCAGCTATCGATGTTTACAGTTTGCTTCTTCTCGACCTTGAAATGTGGGTTCTAGAAAATTTATTTTATCAAGAAATGACAAGAAAGATCATATATATGTAGGTATATTTGTGCTAGATGATGCTTATTTATATGTATTTGGAAGTGCAGGAATGAAAACTGTGAACCCCCCCTCCCCAAAACGTGGAGCATGTCTCCATGTTTCAAGGGGGACATTCCCCAAAACATGGAGCATGTCTCGGGGGATGTTGTCTCTCATTCCTCCCTATAAATAGAGTGGAGGAGGAAGAAAGATTTGTGGTGTGGAGGAAAAGAGAGTGAGTAAGAAGTAAAAGAAAAGAGAGAGCTTATGAGTTGTACAAATTTGATATTCTCCTCATAGTGAAAACCCCCTCATATGGACGTAGGCAAGTTTGCCGAACCACGTAAATCTTGTATCTTAACTGTGAACTGGTTTTGCTTGTAGGTTCCCTCGACAAGTCAGTCCTAGAACTGATGAGAGGTTGAGCTGGAACAAGAGTTGACTATTGCTTGTAGGTTCCCTCGACATTCGGTCTTAGAACTGCTAAGATGAAGAGTGTATATCTCACTTTGTTGAGATATTTCACTTCTGTTCTTGTTTCCTTTGTGAAACGAGAATATAGAGGTTGACTTGAGCTTTTATGAAAACAAAAGTCAGGGCTTTCTCTCGGGTGATATCGCTTCCGCGGCGTGAGGGCGTGACTCTACGCCCAACAAAAACTAAACTAAAATAAATATCTTATTCCCTCCTTTCTTCTAAGATGGTATACACATTATCTAGAAAAATTTCTTATCTTTTAGAAAATTAGCTATAAAAACTGTTAGTGAAGTACAAGTGCTGAATACTTTGCGCTAAAGATATTTCAGGGAGTCTGCTAACTTAGTTTGATGAGAAATACGTAAAACTAAGGACAAGAACTAATGTTTTTAAGGAGAAAATAAGTTGTAAATTGTTATCGTTAAGCATAAATTAGATTGCTAATACACTTGACACAAATTTTAGAGTATCCCAACCCAAAGGAAGTGGAGTATATGGGAAAAAGGGGCTGGTCAGCTTGGTCCGCAAATGTAAACCCTTTTTCTTGCAAGAGTTGGTCTGTTTCTCTTTTTACACATGTATTAGACTTAGTGTATGATAATATGAGTGACAAATCGGGCAATGAATCCAAATTTGTCTAACTGGTCTATGGTTCAGATAGCCTACCTCGAAGATTGGAGCGCATTAGAAAAGGAACATTCTCATTCTTTGTCAGGGACGATTCAAGCACTCAAAGCAAGGACGTTGCGTCTACCAGTGACAGGAAGGGTGAGGGTATGATAAAACAGTAAACATCTTAATTTAAAAGCAATTTTAGAGGCTAAAATTTGTCTCCGTATCTGTGTTCCTTGTTTCGCAGGTGGATGTGCGCTCTATAAAGAATGCCATTAGTTCAGCAGTTGATGTTATGCAAGCAATGGGTTCATCCATCTGTTATTTGCTGTCTAGGGTAAGTTTAAATATGTCTAGGTTTGAAGCTTGGTATAATTTAGACTTTTATGAAAAGTATCTCTTCTTATAAACTGATGTTGAATGACTTCAATTGTAATGCAAGTTCACCAGCAGCAAACTATCTTCGAACGCTGACTAATGACTCCCAAGTATTTTATGTTTGTCAGGTGGAGGGTACAAGCTTTCTGGTTTTTGAACTTTATGAAGTTGCGGTAACAGCAAGCATCATGTTTGATGAATGTAGAGAGTTACTAGCTTCAACAGCAGCAATGCAGGTAAAATTGTGTGTTATTCAACTCTATATATGTAATTCTAAGCTTGAGTCCATAGAACATATTTACCTTGTTCGGTTACTGAAAGAAAGCTAAAATAGACCAGTGCAGGTAAAAGATTGAGCCTATTTTATGTTGAAGGTAGCAAGAAATAAAAAGAAACATTTTTTAATAATTCCTGACCATTTTCTTTGTGATCAAATACAACATAAATGAATCATATGGGAGTATCAGATTTTTGAAGGTTACATTGAGAAAAATTACTAGTAACTTTAGTAATTGGGGTACTGATACAGGAGATCAAGTATTGGACGAGACGAGAAGAAAAGCAGCCGAGAGGACATCAGCAGACGACGACTCGACCGAGACGACATCAGCAGACGACGACTCGACATTTCAACTCAAGTCAAGATGACAAGACGAGACGACACACCCCAGTCGACAGTCGAGACGACAGGACGAGACGACACACCCCAGTCGACACGAAGGGCGGTGTTAGTCGACACATACCAGTCGACACGAAGGGCGATGTTAGTCGACCCATGTTAGTCGACACATGTTTGTCGACACATGCCAGTCGACACGAAAGGCGTCACTACTCGACACGCCTCGTGTCGACTCGAAAACAGATTAGGAGAGTTTCATATTTTTGGTTATTTCCTTTTAAATTCGGACTTTCTTTTTGATTAAGATTAGGATAGGGTTAGTTGGCTATAAATATTAGTTCCTTTGGTAAATCGAGGATTAACTTTTCAATTATTCAAATCAAGAGAATTTTTTTCCATTGTTTCTTTCTAAAGTTTGGAAAATTAGGGCTTGAGGATTCAAGCTTGTTTCTTACATGCTATTGTTAGGGCTCGTCGGTATCAGAACGATATCCGATTGGCCTCCCCATTTCTACGTCTGCGTCAAGTGGTATCAAAGCTTCGACTTCAACATCCTCGACAATGTCAGGTGACGGCGAGAAGGAGCTTTCTCTACAGGATCTTTCCTCGAGGATAGATTCTATAGATGGAAGATTTGGCACGTTGGAGGCGTCTCTTCAGAACCTTCAACAAGCCATTGAAGGACTTACCATTCACCTCAACAATGGGAATAACGTCGCCGACTGTTTTTACCTAAGCGGACCCAGAGTTAGGCTACCCCGACATCCACCCCTATACTTTTTTCAAACCCCTCCAATTTATCCCCCTCCAAATCAACCACGTCCAAACCAACCATCTCCATATCAACCCCCTCCACATCATAGACGACATCCCAACCAACCCCTCTCACATAATGAATCCAGTGATGAAGGAGCGGACTATGGTACCCAATTTGAGGAACCATGGTACGACAACGTCTCGAGCGAAGAAGAAGGAGGGCGACCTTATGACAGAGGTCGGGGCAGAGGCTTCAACCCTCATCACAACTATTACCGACAGTACGGACATCACCACGACCAAGAGTACCGAATGAAGGCTGGACATAGAGGCTTTCCTGGATTGGCTCTACGAAGTGGAGAAGTTTTTTGAGATGGCTAATATTCCCGAAGCAAACCAAGTAAAATTTGTGGCATATCGTCTCAAAGGAGGAGCCGCGGCCTGGTGGGATTAGACTCAAAACACTAGGCGACGAAAAGGCAAGCAACCAGTTCGGGTTTGGTGATGCATGAATCAGTTACTACAAGCTAGGTTCCTACCATCCAACTACCAACAAATTCTTTACAACCAGTTCGAGCAATGCCGTCAAGGAATCAGATCAGTAAGTGCTTATACTGAAGAGTTCTTCCATCTTAGAACGTTGCGATTTGTCTATGAGCGAAGAGCAACTCGCGGCCAAATATATCGGAAGTTTGAAGTATTCCATTTAAGAGAAGGTGGCCATCAACAACGTGTACTCTGTGGACGAAGCCCATAACATGACTCTCAAGGTGGAAAGATTGTCCTTCAAAGCGCTACCTTTCAGACGAACCGAACAAGGAGGTTCGGTTGAGAAGGCGAGAGGAGAGTCGGCCAGGCAAAGGATGATTGATCTGTCTGTTCCTCCACGATCGGCCGAGCGGTCGACAACTAAACCACAGGCCCGGACGACTCAAGCAAGTATGTATGGCAAGCTGACTGTAGGGAAGTGTTTCCGATGTCTCCAACCAGGATAAGTCCAATGAGTGCCCACAGCGACGGAAGGTCAATCTAGCGAATTATGAAGAGGTGGAGGACGGACACGCAGCATCTGACGAAGAGTATGAGGAAGAGATTGCCGAGATTGAGGGCGACAACGTGTCGTATGTTGTTCAGCGACTCCTATGCACTCAAAAAACACCAGATTCATCACAACGACACCAATTTTTTTTCTAGGTGTTCGATCAAAAACAAGGTGTGCACCCTTATCATTGACAATGAAAGCTGTGAAAAATATAGTGTCAAAGGCCTTGGTGGACTACTTGAAATTGCCGACTGAAGCAAAGCATGTGCCTTATACCACCAGATGGATCAAGAAGGGTCCCTCCGTGAAGGTGACCGAAGTATGCCGCGTGTCACTATCACTAGGCAAGACTTATAGTGATTTTGTTACTTGTGATGATATGGATATGGACGCGTGCCATGTCTTGTTGGGGTGGCCGTGGCAGTATGATGTCGATGCTAAGCATGACGGCAAGAAGAACAAATACTCTTTCGTATGGATGAACAAGAAGATCATTTTACCACCAATTCCACCCTCCCCAAAGAACCCAAAGGATCAAAAATCCAAACGTATTTCTCTTTGCAACAAGTGAGAGTTTCTGGCCGAGTCAAAAGAGTTGAAGCGGAGGTTTACCTTAGTGGTGAAGGAGGAATTGAAGATGCCCATGGAGGTTCCAAAGAAGATAAAGTCACTACTTAAGGAGTTCGAAGTGTTGATTCCTGAAGAGCTGTCAGCGGGTCTTCCTCCCATGAGGGGTATACAACACCACATTGATTTTATTAAGGGTTCAGTGTTTTCTAATCTCCCTCATTATCGTATGACCCCGCAGGAGAAGAAGATTTTACATGACACCATTGAGGACCTTATTAAGAAAGGTCATCCAAGAGAGTATGAGTCCATGCTCAGTTCCGGGCCTGTTGACACCAAAGAAAGATGGGAGTTGGAGGATGTGTGTGGACAGTCGAGCCATTAACAAGATTATAATTCGCTACAGGTTCTAATCCCTCGGCTAGACGACATGTTGGATCAATTAGGAGGCGCGAGCGTCTTTTCAAAGGTCGACTTGAGGAGTGGTTATCATCAAATCCGAATCCGACCTGGCAACGAGTGGAAGACTGCATTCAAAAGTAGTGAGGGCCTCTGGGAATGGTTGGTGATGCCTTTTGGATTGTCGAACGCTCCAAGCACATTTATGTGTTTGATGAACCAAATTATGAAGCCTTTCTTGGGAAGATTTGTAGTCGTCTACTTTGATGACATTCTCATCTATAGCCGAGATGAACAGGAGCATATGTTGCGGGGGGGGGGGTTATTCATTGGTGTAATTTGGGGGATAATGAGATAATTTTTGGAACATTACTTTTTGGTGTTATTCATTGGGGTAATTGGAATTGGAGTCAACTTTATTGTGTTATTGGTTTGTTGGGATAATTAGGGGACAAATACTTCACTTTCCCCTAAATTACACCAACTATATAAAGATCCCCTCCACCCCTTCTTCATAATTACCCAAATTTACTCCATCCTCCATATTAGAACAATGTTGTTTCACTTTAAAGATAATTGGGATAATTTTAAAATATTTTTGTATTACTTAACTAATACATGCTAATTATATTATAAATATATGATATGATATATAAAATATAACATATATTAATATTTTAATAACATAATTTAATAACATATATTAATAATATTATATAATAGTAATTATAGTATAACGTATTTATTGTAATATTATATAATATTTTAATAACATATATTAATAATATTATTTAATATATTATTATATAATATTAATTAGTAATTATAGTATAACGTATTTATTATAATATCATATAATATTTTAATAACATATATTAAAATTATTATATAATAACATATAAACTTAATATTTTAATACATATATATATATTTAATATAACATATATTAATACTATTATGTAATATATTATTATATCAATATTAATTAGTAATATAGTATACGTATTTATTACAATATTATATAATATTTTCAATAACATATATTATTATATAATATTTATTATCGACGTGAACCCTTTGTATAATACATTTAATAAAGATATTATTATAGTATACTTATTATATAAGACAATACTCAATCCTATAATATATATAATAATTACTAAATATTAGTGAAATATTATGATATAACTATAATATCAATCTATATTTGAAAATAGTATAATATATTTACTAGTAAACACGTAGTACCTATTAATATATATTATTGTAATTATCATGTTAATATATATATATATATATATATATATAATAATATATATAATATATAGATGTATATAATTTTAATTTTAATGATAAATTTTAAAAAATATTACATTGAATAAAGTAAATTATTATAATATTTTATAAAAGTACATTATATCCTATGATACTATATTATAATTATATTATTAAAATATTATATTAAATATATTGATATTATATTATATTAATTATTATATATAGTATAGCATGCTAATATAATATAATACAATACAATATAATAATTAATAATAGTAATTTGTAAGTATAGTATAATATATTATATTTTAATATAAAGTAAAATAATATTTATATTATAATAATATATTAAATAATATACTAAACCAATTGGATAAGTTAATTTAGAAGTAATTAATAGATAAAATTATATTTTAATAAGGTGCCACATCATCAATTATCCCACATGAATTGTCAAATCAAATTCTGAAATTATTCCATTATCCCACTTTATCCTACTTTACCCCACTCAAAATATTCCAAAGGGGTAAAATTGTTCCATTGGAACACTTTTTCCCCTTGGCCCCAATTTGTCCCAACCAATAACCCCCTCTAAAGGAGAATAAACTTTACATCAACCTTAAGAAGTGTGTGTTCTTGACGACTCAACCTGTGTTCTTGAGATTCGTGGTAAGCTCACGAGGAATCCAAGTCGACGAGGATAAAGTTAAGGCAATCAAGGATTGGCCGACTCCAACAAGCGTTACAGAAGTAAGAAGCTTTCATGGGCTAGCATCTTTTTATCGGCGTTTCATTTGTAATTTTAGTTCTATAGTTGCTCCCATGACGGATTGCTTGAAGAAAAAGGGTGTTTTCGAATGGACCGATGAAGCAAATACAGCTTTTGCTCTTATCAAGGAGAAGATTACTACTGCACCTATATTAGCGTTTCCAGATTTCGACAAGCTCTTTGAGCTTGAGTGCGACGCGTGTGGTGTAAGTATTGGAGCAGTCCTCTCTCAAGAGAGCACCCCATTGCTTTATTGAGTGGGAAGTTGAATGAAGCTCGACAGAAGTAGAGTACTTATGAGCAGGAATTATATGTTGTTTATCGTTCTTTAAAAACATGGGAAAGTTATCTCATTGCTAACGACTTCATGATTTACTCCGATCATCAGTCTCTTCAACACTTCAAGAATCAAAAGCATATCAACAAAATGCATGGGCGTTGGGCTTCGTATTTTGAGCAGTTTAATTTTACTTTGCGACATAAATCAGGAGTCGACAATAAGGTACCCTATGCTTTGAGTCGGCGGGTATCCTTGTTGAACGTATTACGAGGTGAAGTTGTTACTTTTGACTGTTTAAAAGAGCTTTATGTTGATGATGAAGACTTTCAAGAGATTTGGGCAAAGTGTTCGACAAGACAACCCACATGAGACTTTGTTATCATAGACGACTTTTTGTTTAAAGGGAATTGGCTTTGAATTCCCAGGACGTCATTGAGGGAAAAGATAGTTCGAGACTTATATGGTGGAGGGCTTGGTAGACACTTTGGGAGAGACAAGACTGTTTTGAGTCTTGAAGAGAGATATTATTGGCAAAGTTTGAGGAAGGATGTGGTGATACTTGTGAGGAGTTATCAAGTGTGCCAAGTTGCAAAGGGGCAGGTAAAGAATACTGGTTTGTATACTCCCCTACCTGTGCCCAAGGATATCTGGGAAGATTTGAGTATGGACTTTGTGTTGGGAATTCCCCGAACACAAAGAGGCGTGGATTCAATCTTTGTGGTAGTGGATCGATTTTCTAAGATTGCTCACTTCATTCCATGCCGCAAGACTTCGGATGCACCACATGTTGCACGACTGTTCTTTCAAGAAGTGGTTCGACTACATGGTGTTGCTAGTTCGATTGTCTCGAATAGGGATACTAGGTTCTTGGCGACTTTTTGGACTACTTTATGGCTATGATTTGACACTTTATTGAAGTATTCTAGTACAACCCATCCTCAAAAGGATGGACAAACAGAAGTGGTCAATCGAACTTTGGGAAACTTGATTCAATGCATATGTGGAGAGAAGCCAAAGATGTGGGATCAAGCTATACGTCAAGTTGAATTCGCTTACAACTTGACTGTTCATAGTTCCACAAGTATGTCGCCTTTTTCCATTGTTTACAGGAAGACACCTAGACATCTCCAAGATTTGTTGAAGTTGCCGACAAGTAGCAAGTTCAGCGAGTCAGCAAGTTCAATGGCAGAGAATGCTTTCAACGGGAGGAAGTACGTACAAATCTCGAGAAGGCTAATGCAAAGTTCAAGGTGCGAGCAGACAAGAAGAGACGACTCAAGGTGTTCAGTGAAGGAGACATGGTGATGGTTTACTTGCGGAAAGAATGGATGCTGGTTGGAACTTATATCAAGCTTAAGCCGAAACGATATGACCCGTTCAAGATTCTTAAGAAGATCAATGATAATGCATATTTAGTGGATCTTCCGGAAGGAATGGATATGTCGGCGACATTTAACGTGGCGGATATTTCTGATTATCATCCTTCAATCAAGTTATATTCGAGTGATGCGAACTCAGAGACGAGTTCTTCCGAAGAAGGAGGGACTGATACAGGAGATCAGGTATTGTACGTGACGAGAAGAAAAGCAGCCGAGACGACATCAGCAGACGACGACTCAATCGAAACGACATCAGCGGACGACGACTCAACCGAGGCGACATCAGCAGACGACGACTCGACATTTCAACTCGAGTCGAGACAACACACCCCAGTCGACAGTCAAGACGACAGGACGAGACACCACACCTCAGTAGACACGAATGACGGTGTTAGTCGACACATACCAGTCGACACGAAGGGCGATGTTAGTCGACACATGCCAGTCGACACGAAAGGCATCACTACTCGACACACCTCGTGTCGACTCGGAAACAGATTAGGAGAGTTTCATATTTTTGGTTATTTCCTTTTAGATTCATACTTTTTTTTATTAGGGTTAGGATAGGGTTAGTTGGTTATAAATATTAGTTCATTTTTGTAAATCGAGAATTAACTTTTCAACTATTCAAATCAAGGGAATTTTTCTCCATTGTTTCTTTCCAAAGTTTGGAAAATTAGTGCTTGAGGATTCAAGCTTGTTTCTTACCTGCTATTGTCAGGGTTCGTCGGCATCGGAACGATATCCGATCGGCCTCCCCGTTTCTACGTCTGTGTCAGGTACAAATTATTCCCTACCGATATTACCAGTTTTTATATTTTCGTCTACCAATCACGGTCAGAGTCCAAAATGTGCAAAAGGGGCTAATAAGTTTAATTGTTATTCAGAATACACCGCTTCATTGATTGATTGCTGTCATTGTTATTCGTAAACTTCTTAATACCTTTGCTTCGAATCAGGTACAAGAATTGAGCCTCAGAACACATCTGATTCAATTAAGGCAGGATGTGCAGGTGGACTGACGAGGTTCGGATTATAACTACGACACTTTCTCATACACTTTCTCATACGTAAAATTTTCTTACTTCTTACTGGGGCGGGATTTTTGCTTTTGCTCATCTTCAGAGAGTTGAGGTGTATTCATTTCCCCTGTAATTTTCTATTTATCCCTTTTCTAAGAGAAAATCGCACGGAACGAAATGCAGAGTACAGAAAAGCATAGAGTCGAGAAAAGTTCAGAGTAACGTAGATATTTAGCATTTATACATCATGTATAATTGAATTGTGTATAGCAGAGGACAAGACTTCTCATTTAAAGCCAATAGAAAGATATTTGAAAATCCCACAAACAATTATTCGTTTAACCGCCATATTCTCAAAAGGCAGCATGTTTAAGAAGAATGACAATTTGAGAGGGAAAACCTCAACAAATAACAAATTGACACTGTAAAACGTAATAATTCGACGATTCTACCTATATATCAAGCAATTCTATATAACACCATAAAGTGATCAAAGCTTAATGACTTCAAATGGATCTCC